AGTCTGGCTAGTTGGGCCCGATGGGAAATCCAGGCTACATCTGGCCTTAACAAATACACCTGTGCTTTTGGAGCCTAATGCATAATGCAAGAGAACATATTAGAAATAGATAGGGGGAAAAAATGGGACAGAGCTGGTAGGCGTCCTCTGACTGCTCCAGGAAATCACCCAAAACACTGCAGTAGAAGGGTACAGGATGGTAAGCGAGAGTGGTTTAGTCACAGTCCAAAGTGTTTAAACATAGATAAAAATGACCAACCTTGCATACATTTCCTACACATTTTACACTTATGGGTTAATTTAGATAGTAATTACTAAAATGAACTATACATATTGGTATGTTTAACCAGTCACAGGAGCAAAACTATGGAAAGATAGCATTTATTTTTAATTTTTTAAAACTGACTGGTAAATATTTTACCAATGGGAAGAATTTCTTGTGTTATTCTGTTTGGTTTGACAATCAATTCAGTGCATTTGTCATAATCTTAACTACGAAACAGAGTAAATATTCCACTCAGCCAGCTCAGTCTGTATTTAGTTAAGTTTCAGATCTTAATAACTGAATATTATTTTTGCTTCTGTTCGTAGTGTGTCTGGGTTTTTTTAGTTTAATATTGAAACATCATGTCTACTGATTAACTGTGTTTGGGAAGGCATGCCAAAGGCAAAATTCTCACCTTGTCTGAGGAACTAAGTTGTACTGAATTGTGCTCAAATGATTAATTGACTCAGAGAAACAAGTTCATTTTACACATTTTAACATCAATAAGATATTTAATGTTTTGATTGATTTATTTTGTTTTGGTGAGGGGCTGTCCAAGGCAGAGCTCCATAATCTGATAATTAATTGTACGCTGGAGGGAAAAGTCTCTTATCTCTTTAAATCCTTTACAGGAAGTTCAGAGGTCATGGTCAACTACAAACCACCAAGCTTGGAGCTATGAGAGATTTAGCGTCTTGCTAAAAAGCACTTGATGAGCAAGTCCTGGGTAGCACATGATGACAGAGAGGTTTAATCTGGTGGCAGATAGATTAACCAACCTGGTAAATGTTAAGTTTTCACCAGTTCAATGAGACATAACACAGATGCCTCAGACTGATGATCAACTTAGTTCAGATACCATTTCAAGTTGAGTTTGATGTGTAGCAGAGCTGAAACTGAATCATCAGATCTGTTGTGCTGCTCAGGATTTTTTTTAAAAACCCAGAGCTGCTTCATCCTCGACATATTGATGTAACCTTACACTGGCATGCAAGAGGATCAATGTCTGTGTGAAACTGCTGCAGTGTACAAAACAGGAGGCCAAATGTGAAGGCAGAGCACGAGACTCAACTTATCTATCGGCCTGAGCGGTGGAAACATGTAGAAATATAAACAGCCATTTTCCTGAAACTACCTGCCAAACATGACTTTTACGCTGCAGTATGAGCTGGAAAGCTAGTGACTAATTACTTGACTTGCATTCACATCATGTCAGAGGAAGAGGAGAAACAGAACAGAGTCTTGTTGTTTCAACTTATACCCATTTATACTCATTAACTCATTAGAGAAAATGAGATGGTCATAGGGTCAACGGTCGTATGACAGGAAAATGCTGCTGTTATCAGCCCTATAAAAATGCAGAAGATAGTGTTTGCTGTTAATATGCATAACTGTGTTAGCACAAACATAATGATCATTTGGGTTATTATTTAATGCACGTGTCAACATACTTTCACAGTTTCCGACAACCAGCGGGAAACATCAGGGCTAAAAAAAAAAAAAAAAAAAATTTGCCACATGTCTAACTTTTAATCATGTTTCTTTCAGGCTTCAGCTCATATTCACAGTAAATCTGACAGGACCTGAACGTGCTGTAGGGCAGCACAGTAAATATTTACCAATTTGCAGCTGAAGCTCACATGGGATCTAAGGCAGAGGTCACCTTTCAGAGAGATGACCTGGGGCAAACATGCGCCTGCTGCAGCGTCACATTATCAGGTCTTTGGAAGTAAAATGTCACTTTCCAGTTCGGCACGCGGGTGTTTGCAAACTAAACCCAAAGCAGGAAAACTTACACAGGAAGCCCATTTACTACACATCAACACTTCGGCGGACAACCTTGACCTGACATTAAACCCGTTCAAATCTCATATTCATGCCTCTCTCTCTCTCTTTTTTTTTTTAAAAACACAAACACCTCCTCTTATAAATATCAATAATCAAAGCAAGTAATGTTTTTAAAGGTTTAATTAAGCGACTTTGAATATTCATAAATATCCTAAAATTCTGTTCACTGCAACTAAATATTATTTTATTATTGATTAATCTGACAAATACTTTGTAAATGAACCGATCATTTGTCAGAAATGTCAGAAAATAGTGACAGATAATCACAATTTCGTAGAGGCTTTCATAATTTCTTCTAATTGTTGTTTTTTTTCTCTGAACAAAATGCAAAGATATTCAATTTACTGATATATAACACAAACTAAGCTGGAGTTTTGGGTGGAAATAACATTGAATCCATCACAACTGTTTTGTGTTAATTAACCAGTCACTTAAGCTCTTAATATTTTTGCTGCATTTTTGAGTTTCGGAACATTGTAAAGTGAATATGCAGCGTTTCTGACTGCTGGACAAAGCGCTTATTCATTACTGTTAAGGAGTTGTATCATTTCATCATTTCCTATCTGGTGAAATGTACATATCTAACACCATGATTTAACTTGAACATAATAAAAAGACTGCCTCACTTAAGGTTTTTTTTGTTGTTGTTTTCTTATAGACAGGACCTTGTGTGTTTTGAGGTCATTGAATAAAAATCTCAACGTTAACTCACATTTTGTTGACGTGTTGCAGCAGACCTCATCAAATAAAACCACTCTGGGCTAAGTGCCCTGCCCTTATCAGAGGTTTCTTGGTGCTGCCTTGTGCTGTGCCAATTCAACTTGGATTTCATAGAGGATTATTATTCGTCCTCAAGTAGGAACCATTCATTTCCCCACTTCAGACAGTAATGAGCAAGTGGAATAATCATCTGCTGCACTGTGCAATACAGACAGCACCTGGCTTACACTCTAACCAACCCCAACTATTACCCTATTTGAGAAGCCTTTTAATTTCTGCTAGAACGATCAAAGAGACCCCAGAGCTCGCAGTTAAAGGACTATTCCACTGTGGCTTGAGATTTTATTTTACCCCTTCCATTTCTTCAGTCTTAATTGCTTTTATAAAAAGGTGCACTGGATATTTTATAAGCCCGATCATTCGCTGCCATTTACTTACAAACAGCAGAGAAAACAGCATGCAAACAACAGGCAATAATATTTTTAGCTTTTGAAAGAAACGTGTAATTAACAGCAAGAAAAATTCTGCCTCAAGGTCCAATTATTGTTTTCTTTTACTAATGATTCTTTCAGCCAACATATCTTCATCTGTGGTTTCACAACGCATTGGATCCTGTCATCACAACACAGTCAAACTGACAGATAAGGTGATAAACAAAGTGAAACTATTGTTATCTGTGTATGAAAGTGTGTGCGAAAGGTTGCTCTTGTTGGCAGCATGGACATGGTATTTGGTTGGTATTTGGGGCATAATGGAAGTTAAAAGCACTGGTCTACTTGTCACCTCTCAGTCATGTGATGAAGCACATCACAACAAGTTCAGGTGTCATGACACACTCAGTTTCCCAATGGCATTTACACTTTGTTGACCCATTTGACAAACTGCATGGTCATTACTGTGGAAATTGTGTTACTATGTGAATCTAGACGAGGTGGGACAGGTTCACTGAAGCCTTAGGGTCCTCTGAAGCACTCATTTTCATTGGCTGGATCCGGTGGAACATCAAGCCCATGAACTAGAAAAATTCTCACAATCTCTATAATTAAACCCAAAACAAACAGTAATCTTAACGTTACAAGCTTCAAACTGATGCCCTCCTTTCTAAGCTGATGTTTAGCCAGCATCTCTTTCCAAATATGCAGTCTAATAAAAACATCAAATATGTACTGACATGAAGAAAGCAGGATTTCAATGTTACAACCCATCAAGAGCATTTCTCTCACAGAGGAAGTGATGTTTAGGTCTACCCACAGCCATATCACCAATATGCTCTAAAAGAAAAATAGCACTCCTGTGTTCACCCTTTCTCCTTATTACCACTTGACTGGCCCCACTGACATTCATTATGCATCCATTCTTGGGAAAGGAGAACATATAAAGGATGTTGTTCATCAACTGTAGGGCTGACAATTACTTTGCTGTGATGTGATTTTACCATTGCAATGTTATAATACTGAGCGAATGTGCTGAAAAGAGGGTTAATCCTTTTCAAACTTTCCATGACCTTTTGAGCCAATGTTCTCTTTTATCAACAAGCTACATTTCCAGCAACAATGACATGACTGTAAATAAAAGCTTTATAAAACGGGACTTTTGAGGCAGACTTTTTTTTCTAAATACAATGTCCTGCTTGGTTTTTTTACACATTAACTGTAACTGTTTATTTACACTCTACAAGTGTTTACCCCATGTACTTCACATCAACCACATTTAATGTAAGTTTTGACTTGGTAATTAATCATTACATAACCGTCTGTTCTGCAAGTTGGGAGTGGAGAAAAAACAACCATCCTCATACGGATCTACACATCCCTTCTATTCTCGGAGTGAAATTAAGCTTAAGAAATAAAGTCGAAACACAATTTGTACTGATTGGAGCTCCTCAAGGGCCTCCTGAGGTCCCCTGGCCCCATCTTGGACTCACTACTGACATCTGCTACATGCACAATGCACACCGTGCACACCGTACACATGCAGGATGGAGGATGCAAAGAAAGGACACCAGTAATGAGGCAGAATGACAGAGTGGGATCCCCCCCCCCCCTTCCCACTGCATTCTCCCCAAATAACAACAATCTATGCATTGCATTCTGCAGAGGTAACAATAACCACTGCACTGAATTCCCCACAGCTGACAATAAGACATGTACAGCCCATCCACACCCACCTGAAGAGCAGGAGATGAGGAAAACGGCGAAGGCCAGTTTGGTGGCGTCTCCCATTTTCCATCCGAATCGGATCCTCTGACTAGAAAGAGAATAAAAAAACCAAAAAACCCCAAAATCTCAAAACGACTGAGTCAAATTAAATGTCTTGCTGCTCCAAGGAGCACTGTCTCTGCAAAAAGGACATCTTTAAAATGTCGGGATCGAGTCTAAATCCAAAATATCCCAGGTAATGCAAGCCTCACTAGTCCAAAAAAAGAAGAGGTGAGGAAGAGGAGAAGGATGAAGAGGAGTGGATGGTTGGTGGAATTTCCAGGTTTACAGACAAGCAATGGAGGTGGACTTGTTGGCATTCAAGCCAGGGCTGTCATGTACTTGCAAGGTCTGCAGCATTGTTATAAACAGACGTGTTCACCTGTGCCTGTTGGTTTTTAACCTGTTATTTTCGGAAAAGCGGAGCAGAGAGCCGAGCCACAGCCGGACAGGGCTAACATCCATCGGACTGGAAATCAAGCGCACTCCGCTCTCCAATCAAACTTCTCCTCCGTGAGCTCCGTCGCATTGGTATACAATGTCAAAACACCGTTGAAATGGGCATTTCCACTCTCCTAACATGAAAACTGTGGATTTAAATCGTTGCTGTTGTTACATTCCGTGTTGAAGTCTCGGTTTCGTCCGACAGTCCAGCGGGGCTGCCCGGCCACAACCAGAGCCCCGTCCGCTCCAGCAGGGAAACAACCGATTACGAGGCTCCCTCCGCTGTGCTAGCCCTCTCCAAAGTGGGACAAGCAGCCTTCCCCCGTCGAAATGAGTTGAACGAACAAGTGGAAACACTATCATATGATAGAAATAACTGCTAAGGCTGCCGTTAATCCTTAAGGCTAACGCAGCTATCGAGTTTAGGACGAGCTGGTTTTCCCAAGTCCGTCTCCTCCTCGCCTTCTCTGGTCGGGACAATTTCAAGATGGCGTCACCGTGACCCACGTCAAGTCAGCCAAACTGATATACAAAGCTTCCGGTGAAGTATTTCAAAATAAAACGATTCAATGGAACATGAGGTTTAAGTGTGGGACAGAAACATGAAGGAGAACATCCAGCCTTAAAACAAACAAACAAACAAACAAACATGAAGAGGTCCATATTAGGAGCGTTTCTCTAAAGCCAGCATTTATTAACAGGTTGTTTAATTTCCCACAGGCCAAGATGACATCTTTGGATGTCTTATTTTGTATGATCAACAGTCTAAACCCAAAATATATTCAGATAAGTAACATGTATGACAATTAAGCATCAAATCCTCATATTTTAGAAGCTGGAAGCAAATGTTCAATTATCAAAATAGTGCCTGATAAATTTTCTGTTCATCAACTAATCAATTAATCAACTAATCTTTACAGTGTCCAAATTAACCACCCTGCTATTCTTTTTGCAGGAATAAAACAAACCATTTTGACAAATATTACTTAAATATGTTGTAGTTTGTGTTTAGTATTTCCAGTTTTATACTTAAATATTTTATTGATACTTTTTGGTTCACTTTAATTTTGAAGGGGGTATTGTTGAATTTCCGTTACTAATCTGTCTCCCATGAGCCAACTTGATGAAACTGCTTTACGAGCTATGGGATTGTTTTTGTTAGGGAGGGCTGTTCGTTTTGTACTCCAGCGTGTGCCCTTGCAGGAGAAGAGGGGCGGCCGGAATCAGGCAGTCGTCTTTTCAAAATAACAAACAGCCAAAATATTTTTACCATGTTATCACATATGACGCAGATATTAGGCTATTGATGGCTACAATCTGCATACTTGTGTGTACATTATTATATAGGCTACGTGTGCACGTTTCCGTCCAAAATACACAGCAAACCAAAAGAAGAACTATGTAGGAGATCTAAACCACATCCTTTGCCAATTATAGGGGTGTTTCAAGAGGTTTAAACGATAAAACATATCTTATTTTAAATCAACAATGTGTTCATAACATGAAACCTGCCACTCCATGTAGGTCACACATATTTCACCCTACATATAGCCTCATGCAGCGGCATGTGCTACTATACGGTCACATATCAGATTTCAACATGGGTTGAGTGCTCAGTAATAAATGCTGTGAATGCCATGAAGTACAGATATAGGCTTGGCCCATTCCCAAATCTGTGTGACACTAATCTCTCTAATAGCCTGGAGCAGATCTCCAACCATAAGCGCTGCTAAACGATTACGAGGTCAAAGGTCTCAGGGGATTTCTCTGCCAAGCTGAAAGCTGAGTCACCTGTTCTATATTGGAGTGTTGGCGTTCATCTTGAGTAAAACACACAGTCCTGTATGTAGCTTAATGGCAAGAGCTTGAGGCACATACACAGGGCAGGTGAGGAGTTCAGTTCCTGTACATGTTATTCCCCTGGCAGTGATTTTGAACTTTCATCACGAATTAACTGTCTTTCCAGAAAGAGCAAGTACAGCCTGGCTCTGTCCTGTAAATGTACGGGATGTTGATCATTTCACAGATTACTCCCTGAACAATATTAGAAACATGCCTCAAAAGACTGGTTTGTGATGACATATGAGGACACTGTCAGCATAGTTATGTTCAACAAACCACAGCATAATTACATTTCACTTCATTGTTAGGGTCCTTTGTCTTGCGTCACAATTAATTAATTAATTAAATTAGTGGAATTTAGGGTGAACCCTGCACGAACTCTTGCTTTAGCATGAGCTGCACCATCACCTTACACTTCACCTGCAGGATGATGCAGATTTGTACCAGTAAATACACATCAAGTATCGTCATTTTGGTAAGCAGTAAAGTTTTTATGGAAGTAATATTTTAGCATCTGTGTTAGAAAAGTCTTTATTGTATCTTTAAGAGGAAACAGTCAATTGAAAATACAAAATGCATCAGCAGCTGTCAATCACACATTTGTTTTCAAGGACAAGGTTTTGTATGGTACATGTGAAAGAGACAGATGCAAAACATGTAACGTAACATGGAACAAAAGTGAAAAATAACTCTCCACACTAAAGCAGATAAATAAGGTAAAACAAGGTCATTGCTCAAATGTGGTTTCATTAATAACCTGTCACTTCACTCTATAAATCAGCTCTAAAAGTCTGTCTTGTTTTTGACAACTTAACATTTAATCATTGTCCGTTCCACAGAACGACACATATATTTACCCAAGGCACTTTGCACGGAGGCCTTGGTGTTGTATTGATAAGATATATTTTTTTTCATTCTAGTTCACTGTAAATATCACAATATGACAAATACATGCAAAATCTTACAGTAAACACTCAAAAAGACATTCGGAGTATCAGATGTATACCCTCAGTAAGGATGACACTGATATAATCATCCAACCTAAATTAAACACAAGCCTCATTCTAGGGTCATTGTGTGGTGGAGGATAAATGCATTCACCCTGTTAGCAAAGCACACATGCTTCTCTGCTCTGTAGTGCTTGATGCTAACGCAGGTGATGACTGATTCATCGGTGGTGTTGTTGAGCTGCCATGAAGTGTTCTCCTGTCATCATTTAGTTCTGTTTGTAAGTTTTCTCCAAAGTTACCGACACCCTAACAAAACAAGAAATTAACACGTCTCAAAAATTAGATACATGTATGTCAAAAAGAAGTGAAAAAAATCTGCTATCATAGAAGAGAAATTCATGATAAATGTCTTGCACTGCACTCTACAGCCATGCAGGCAGTTCTGTGAGGCTGGACTAAGCCACAGCAATGCTTTGAGCCGTGACTCAGCTCACAGTGACAATGCTAACATGCTAATGTTTTGCAGGCACACTCACCGTCTTAGTTTACTATTGTACAAATTGAAATTTTGCCCTAATGCAAAGTCAGAGGATCATGAAATTTATTACAGTTCATCCTGACTGGAGCATGAATGCCTGTACCAGATATCATGGCAATCCATCCACAAACATCAACCTGTTGTAGGTGTTAGAGGAGAAGCCATGTGATTAGAATACATATTTTGGGAACCATGAAGTCTGTATAAAATTTCATGGCAATCCATGTGACAGTTGTTGAGATATTTCAGTCTGGATGAAGTGTTCGGACTGACCAACAGACTGACATTGTCATCCCTGGAGCGGCTCTAGGATGGCTAAAGGAACAAAAATGGGGCTTAGAAATATAAAAGAAAGACCAGTAATATTAAGAATAGCAGCAGCACTGGTTAAAGTTCTTAGACACAATAATGTAAAGAAGAAGACCTGCCATGATGCAGACATGCAGATCTTTTCTACATAGTGACAATAAGTGCACAGCTTCCTTAAAATAAAAGGAACACATACATTAGTAAGCATTCAGCCATGACACAGGGATGACTTTGCATTATGTGCATATGGAGCAAGTTGGTTTGTGTGTCTATCTGTCTTCCTTTGAGTGGGGAAGACCTACAGTTCTGGTCCTGGAGACTTACTGCCCAGCTAATCCCATTACTCAACTATCAGATGCCAAATCCCCTCTAATGGCATTACACGTGCCAGAATTACGTATGATGCTTGCTAATGAGAGTTCAGCAGATATACCTTACTGGAACCAGTGGCCCCTGTGCACAGAGTAGCCCCATGGCTCTGCGGCTTAATGGACTCAGTATTGAGTGTCGAGGGAAGTCAAATTTATCGACAAAGTGCTTTTAACAAAAAGCAGGTTGCTCACAGAGTGCATTGCAGAGCAACAAAGGATGTAAATACATCTAAAGCTGCGAGCAAACGTGTCAAAATTTTAATAGCCAAAGTGTGTGTTTGTAGAGTGTGGGTGTGCATGTGACAATGAGAGCAGCAGGACAACACCAAGGGCAAATGGACACTTGAATGTGCAAGCATGAATGATGAATGGAAGGATGGAGTTTCCCATACAAACCTCAAATCAGGCGGATGCTGCCTCTGCTGCTGAAGCACCTCAGAATCTCCCTTTCAGAAGCTGATATGTCCACTTTGTGAAAATAAGGTTTTTGGAAATGTCTTCAAAAACAGGTATTCAGATAATTGTCAACTTTAACACAACGGTGGAGGAAGCATTCAGAGCTTTTATTGAAGTAACTGTACCAATGCTGCAGTACAAAAATACACAATTTAAGGTTTAAAAATGTCATTTAAAGAAAGATTTACGCAAATAATTCTGAACAATTCCCTCTGTGAGTGTCATACTATTACACATTATAATACTGGATCATTATTACTGATGCAGTAATGTGAAAGTAGCTTTTTCATTTTTTAACATACACCAGACTTCAGAGGAAAAAAATTAAAATCTGCCCTTCCCTCGCCCATTCCCCCTCCCTCCACCAAGTTCGGTGGAGATCGGTTTTGTCCTTTTTTTGCGTAATCCTGCTGACGAACAAGCAGACATAACCTCCTTGGCAGAGGTAATTACATAATGCGGCCAAAGGTATGTGGACACCCAAAATATTTAACCCATAGGTGCTTGTTGAATAAATCCATTGAACAAAACCATGAGGCCTTTCCAGCCTCCCCTCTCCTGGTTTCAGCCTTATTGCCAGATTTTGGAACCTGGTTTCAGGGATTTGCTCCCATTCAGCCACAAGAGCATTAGTGAGGTTGGACACTGGAGTTGGGTGATTAGACCTGGTGTTCCAGTTCATTCTAAAAGTGTTGGAAGGTCAGTCAAGTTCTTTGACACCACACTGGGATCACCACGTCTTTGCTGACCTGGTTTTGTGCATGAGAACATTGTCGTGTTGAAACAGCAAAAGGCCTTGTCCAAACTGTTGACACAAAGTTGGAAGAACACTATTGTCTAAAATATCCTTGTATGCTGTTCCATTAAGATTAACCTTCACTGGAACGAAGGAGCCCGGACCAGGAAAAGAACACACATTTGGCTGTACAGCGTGATGCTCTATTTCCTACACTAATAACCTGAAATGATGTGCTAAACTTGCCAAAAGGTTGAAATTGACTCCA